TTTTTTTTTAACCTAGTGGTTTAAGCCAGAGACTGTTAAGCAAATTACTTATCAATAGTGATGGATTAAATATCAAATTCATAATTCCTGGATTCTTTAAAGCACATTTCTGAAAATGAATCCACAGTACTGCCCAGCCCTACTCATATTAATCAAGTATATGATAATTAGGAATAGATATTTATTATTTTTAAGCTTAGCATAGACATTTTTAATCAGTTTATTTTTTTATTCTGTTACACTACTAACCAGAGCATACAAAACATTTGCTAGAACAATTCTTGAATACAGCTCATCTGTCTGGAACCCGCACTGCATATCCAACATTAATACAATTGAACATGTCCAGAAATATTTCACAAGAAGAGTCCTCCACTTCTCTGCTCGCAACAAAATACCTTATGCCACCAGACTTGAAATTCTGGGCTTAGAAAACTTAGAACTACGCTGCCTTCGGTATGACCTAAGCATAGCTCATAAAATCATTTGTTACAATGTCCTACCTGTCAATGACTACTTCAGCTTCAACCACAACAATACACAAGCACACAATAGATACAAACTTAAGGTAAACCGCACCAAACTTGATTGTAGAAAATATGATTTCAGCAACAGAGTGGTCAATGCCTGGAATACACTACCTGACTCTGTGGTTTCATCCCAAAACCGCCAAAATTTTAACCTAAGACTGTCTACTGTTGACCTCACCCCATTCCTAAGAGGTCTGTAAGGGGCGTGCATAAGAGCACCAGCGTGCCTACCATCCCTGTCCTAATGTTTCTTCTATTTGTACCTATTTTATGTATCCAATCCATGCTTATATTACCAAATACGTTCTTGACAAATAAAATAAATAAATAAATAAATAAATAAATAAACATCTTACTATAAAAGAAGATACTGTAAATGCCTATGTTCTCTCCTACTTTATAAATTGCAATATAATTGTAACTATCTCAAAAATGGTTAACACTGATTATATTTTAAAACATATGTTGTTCGTGCAAGTTAATTGTTTAAGTTGACACTTGAGGAAACCATGGAATTCACAGCTCTGTCCCATCATCAGGAAAAAAAATCTTTTATATGCACTAGTTATATTGTTACCATTCTGAACATTTAAAAAAAGTATTAAATGAAAACCTACTTTAATTAAAATATGTTTGCTTTCCTATCTCTCTTTTTTCCTCACCTAAGCTTGCTACTCTTGGTATTATTTTTAGATCAATTAACAGGATGCTGTAATACTTCTGAAATGAAAATACTTTATGCTACATTTTTATAGCAATCACACAGCATTTTCTTTCAGGTTGTGTATTAGACACAGTTCTACAGAAATTACACAATATTAAAGGCAACAGAGATTTCTTAAAAATATAATCTTATTTGTAAGAGGAAGACAGAAGATCTCATTACTTTCTACAAGAATAAACACTAATATAGTATATAAATGTTAGCATTTTATTTTATTTGTGATAAATTTGTTAAGTGAGTTTTGTCCCATTTTATGACTTTTATTGCCACATTTATTAAGTGATTCACTGCAGATCTAAATTAGTAACATGGTTGTTAAGTGAATCTGCCTTCCCCATTGAGTTTGCTTGTTAGAAGGTCGCAAAAGATGGTTACATGACCCTGGGACACTGCAACCATCATAAATATGAACAAGTTGTCAAGCATCCAAATGTAAGTAACGTGACCATGGGAATGCTGCAATGGTCATAAGTGTGAAAAATGGTTATAAGCCACTTTGTTCAGTCCTGTTGTTACTTTGAACGGTCACTAAACGAACTGTTGTAAGTCAAGGATTACCTGTAATGTATTTCCTGTCCATTTATTGAATGAAGCTAGACTATAGCCATTTTTTCTCCCTGCAGATTCCATTTAACTTGAATCAGGTCACTTTACAACAACTGGTTGATAATATAACTATGTCCTTAAAGAGATGTTTGGGAGATTGCGTCTCCATGTCAAATGATCATTATTGGAGCAAGAATCTGTTCCAAACATGATCAAACTTAGTTATGAACAATCAATCTGTAATAGAAGGTCAATAACTGAAAGCTTGATCAAGCTGTGATTCCAGATCCCAGAATGTTCAGTTCATCAGCTTGGCAAAGGTTGATTGCTTTTCAAAAGATTATTTGATTTATGAATTTTGGAATTGTTTTCCCCACCCATCTGTATAATAATGAAATAAATTACTACAAAGAATAATTATAGTTCTTTATATACCAAGTTGTCTCATTATGCCCAGAGATAATTAGATAAGATTAGTACAATGAATAAGTAAAGTCATGAATTGTAATTAAGTTCTGGGCTTCTGGATGACATAATTGAAAAAATGATCAGGTAGAAATTACATGGTACCCAGTCTGCAACTTCTCCTCCATTAATTGTTATTCAGTATCAGTGAATTATGTCACTGTTTTAGATGGACAGGGTTATCCTCAAGTTCATGTAATAAGGGAGAGGGGCTCACTGTTTTGTATTAGTTGTGCATTCCTGAGCTAAACCTCTTTCCCTGATCAGTAGATCACTAGTGGCTCAGATCTTAGGCTGTTGCTCTTAAACCCAGTTTGGTCTGCAATAAGGCACCTCTCATTATTGATTGGATCATCACGAAGAAGGCTGATTTGGCATGCATCACAGAGGCTGGGACCAGAGGGAAGATTTCCTCTCTCAGAAATATGCCTAGTCAGGTATCAGGTGTGTGCACCAGCCTAGACTGCAGGGCAGGGGAGGTAATGTGACTGTTGCTATCCGCGAGTCTCTGACTGTTACCAGGGGCACAGCTTCACAAATGCCCATTGTGAGACCTTTTTTTTTAGAGTGGTCCCTAAGGATTGCTGCTATTGTATTGGTCTCACTGCTACCTAGCAGTTTCCTTGCTCAAGCTCCTGAACCAAGCTGCAGGGATGGGAGTGGAGTTTCCCAGTCTTATGATTCTGGGGGGCTTCAACCTGCCTTCCGTGGGAGTTGGAGTCAGAGATAGCTCAGGAGTTCATGGAATGACATCCATGGGCCCGTCCTAAGATATCCAAGACCCAACTAGGAATATTGGTCACACACTCAATTTGGTGTTCTTGTTGGAACTGTGCCTTTATGATGTGGAATTGGTGGGCCTATCTTTGGTCCCACTGTCATGGTCAGCTTACAGTCTGATAACTATGAATTTCTCTAAGGCTGTATCCCTCTGGAATTTATTAGATCAGTTCATCCCTGGCAACTGATGGACCCTGATGGGTTTCAGAGGGAGCTGGCTGGGGGCTATAACCGAGAATCTGCTGCGTAGTCCTGCCAAGAACCTAGACCCCCACCTGGAATAGGAGAGTAAATGAGGTCCTGGATAGGATTGTGCCCCCTCTCTTAACCTTGGATTTTGTTTTTTCCTAGGGTTATCGGAGGAACTGAGAGAGATGGAGTGACTCAAGAGATGCCTAGAGTATTGTTGGTTAAAGATAAACTGAACACACATAAGAACTATGAAAGATTTGCCAGTTATTAGAGAACGGAGCTTAGTGAATCCATAAATGGGGCTGTTCTAGTTGTACTTTTTCTTACTCTAATATATATGGGTGTGTGAGGTGGTGGTTAAATGGGCACAAAAAGATAGTGGAGAGATACTAAACTATTCTCTATCCTGTTTGTGTTGTCACAAAACAGAACTGACTTAAAAAATGGCTCTGTAAAACTGGCTTTGCTGGATTGTCACCACAGATTTATTTCTGCTTCCTGCATCTGATGCTACATGGATGGGTTTTTTTTAAACTTAGACTTAGCTAAGTGGATTGTGTGAACCTCACTTATAGTCAAATATTGGCTTTATGTAATCAGTTGATTGGACATTCTGACTGATGTAAAACATATTTATTCGATTTTTATTTCATTTTTATTACTTTATAAGTAACTCAAGGTGGCAGACAAACATAACTGCTCTTTCCCTTTTATATTTTCCCCACAACAACCCAAGAGGTGGGTTGGAACTGAGTGAGTGAGTGACTGTCCCAAAGCAAAGAAACCAGACTCTGACCAGTTAATGGAACTAGTAAAAGTTCAAATGTAATTGTCTCACTCTAACCAATCTGATTTGTAAATGTTGGCTTACATCTTGGTTTGTACCATATTGTGGTTTAATCATCAGAAAGGCTGAATGAAGAAAAATGGATACTTTCCCATCATGCATCAATTTGGCTCACGATTAGTATTTCTGGTGAGCATCCTGATTTTACTTCATTTAGTACAGAACGATTTGTTCTTCTTGAGATCCAAAGTATTGCCATAAATTTTCTATAGCAATCTCTTTGAAGTCAGCCACATATTCACAACTGTTAATCACCTGCCCATCTGTTTAGCCATCTCCATATCATTCCCTTCCAACATAATCCAAGGTTAAGTAGGTATCTGCTCTGACATGTTCCTTTTTGTTTTTAGCATCCTCCCATTAGACTTTTCAGCAAAAGAGAGGCAGTGTCTAAAATCTAACGTGGAACCCGATTTTATTTAGAAGGAAGATCCAGAGAGTTCAGTGTTTTCTCTTGAGTAAGCGGAGGTTGGTGTTTTACTACCCTAATCAGACGCGCTTTCTCGTTCAGCCAGCTGGGTGTAAGTCTTAATTGCGCATAGCTGTGTGTTTCATTTAGCGATGTGGTAGCTGGGTTCCCACACTAAGACATAATCCTGCAACCACTTTGTCTTCAACGTTTTGCCGAACCTTAGCCATTGTTTCCATAGGCATTCTACCTTCTTTTAGACAGGCTGAACTCCAGAGGACTCGCCGTCAAATATCCAGGCGATCGAACAAGTTTTTAGAGGTTGGACGAGAAGGTCATTCTCCTGCATTTTTCCCACGGCGTGAAAGTTTCTTTCTTCACCTTCTCCCAAAGGTACGTTTGGGCTTTTTCGCTCGTGTTCTCGGCTCCGCCCCTTCTGGGATGCGACACAGGAAGAGTCTCGGCTATAAGAGCCTATAGATAAGCATGTTTGCCTGCGTGCTTGATAGCGTTAATGTGTAGGAAGTCTTCATTCCTCGCTGCTGTTGTCGGGCAAAAGTTTGGGTGGTTAAGTTTATGCGGTGTTTGACAAGGTAAGAAACGGGTGTTTTGAGCATCTGGGCATTCAGAGAGGTTAGGTAAAGGATGGTTTAGACTGAGATATAGTCTGTACTGCAACATACAAGCTTCCAGTTAATGTAAGGCAACGGGTGCGAGCAAGTTTATGGGAAGCTGGGCTTGCTGCGAAAAGGACTTGCTGTTGGGAAGCTTTCATTAGATTGTATCTAGTAGTTCATTGCCATTGCTTCTGGTATGTAGTAAAGCTACCCAAGTAAGTTACTAGGAATAGTTTAAAGAGGAGTTGCTGGTGACCTGGTTTTAAAAAGGCCCCACAGAAAATGAAGTATAAATGAAGAAATGTTAGGGGTTTTTGTTAAACCCTGGCTGGGCCTTTTGGAAGCACTCTGCTATTTTGTAAACCGAGAGTAAGCCTTGCATGCAACACTTTCCTCTTCGTTTTACGTAGGTTGGCAGTGGCGAACGGGCCTTCAGAGAAACTTCTTTTATTCATCAATATTGAGAAATGAAATCTCAGTATTGTCTGGAGCACTGTCAGCCAGCAAATATTTTCTTTTAGAGAGAAACGTGTCTCTCTTTTAGAGAGAGAAATATATTCTGCAATATTAATGGGGTGTGCAAAAAGAAAAAGTGGCGCAGAAGGCTAATATTGTGGAAAACCCACTCTGATAAATTTCATATAACTTTTGTTTTTGAATTGGCCTCTTCATGTATGTTTAACAAGATGCTTCTACTTATTGCTAGTAGAAATACAAAAAATTAGTATGTTCTTAAGCTTTCAAATAATTCCTAGACAATCCTGCTATGTTATATTCTAGATAAATATAAGTTTTAGTGACATGAGAGATGCTGCTGGATATGAGGTATATAGTATTTGTGTTGTAACCTTTGCAAACCATTTTAATTATGCTTAGGGAATAGATTTGGGAGGGTTTCAATCCATCATTACTATTCATCCTGATTTAATTGATATTGAAAGCATCTTTGAAAGTATGCCATTTGATGGTCAATCTCTGCTAGTCCAAACTGCATAACTAACTTTAGAATGCTAAAACAAATCTGTTAAATATATATATTTCCTAAATATATATGTTTACTTTTTTGGATTTCAGACCGATGTGTACTCAACCATAGAATGGCAATTTCCAAACCTCCTATAAAAGAAGCTGAAATATAGGAAGCTTCCTAAATATAAATTCTTTTAGCACATCATAGAAATATGAATCACAAAAAGCAATAATTAAAATAATCTGCTTCCAAAATTCAATTACAAAATATAACTGAACTTCATTTATTTATTTCTCCCTCATGCTTAGATGGCCAAATCCATCCCTAAGAAACTTAATAAGCATTTTTGAAACCTAGTATCTTTTGGACTAATTTTTTTTTACTATAGATTATTTATGGATAAAAATGTGATGGAGATGGCCTATACTGCCATAGGACTCCTTGGAGGAAAGTAGATAAATTAAGGGAATGAAGAGATCAGCAGAGTAGACATTCCTTGATAATCTTGTCTTTCATTGATGTTGTGACCTAAAGGCCATTTAATAAATCATATTTTGGAAGATTTCATTTGAATGCAAACTGGCAGAGCTGTTCCACTGAGTGTATACCCTTGGGTGTACTTCAGAACAAATACTTTTTTGCCCAGTGAAGCTTGGCTTTTCTCCTTTAGAAGCTCAGCTGTATTTAATCTGTGTTTCTCAAATGTTATCAGTTATCAGACCCTTCTTTTCTGACTCAGCCTTGTATATGGAGCTCTGTTTGCAAAGTCCAAATGGGTCATGTTGATATAGCAATAACCTAGTAGTCTAATTTTCTCAATGGCCAATGAAGGACAACATTATCATTCTTAATATGTTACCTTTCTTTTTTTTTTAAAAAAAAATATACACAGTCTTCTTTATGATCAGGGGTTCATTGGAAAGTTGAACGATTCCTGAATCCTGTTCTTTCTCTGACCTTACTCTGCAAATAATAATATTAAAATGTCTAATGTGGATAATAGCATAATTATATTTTATTTTTAGTAAACACTGATCCTGCATATTAAATTCTGATCATTTTCACTAGCTACTATACTTTATTCATTTTATTTCTTTGTAATTATGTTTAACATTTATTCATTAAATTTATATCCTACCTATTCTTTAGTAATTCTAGCATTCCATTTTCATCCACAATGTTTCTGTGAGATAAGTTTGGCAGAGAGATGATGAGGTTCCTTGGTCCTCCATGCCTAATATTTAGTCTTTTCCAATTATGAAGAATGTGGTCAAATCTGTTTGGGATCTGCTTTTGGAGACTAAGAGTTATAGAAATATTTTCAAATAAAATACAGTTAGAAATGTCTAACTGTATTTCCAGTCTTAGTCTAGAGTTACATAACTTGCCAAGGTTTAAAATATGGTTTATGGCTAGGATCACGTGACATGCTACGCTCAGATCAAACCAACCGAACCACTCTGTAATATTAAACAGTTTAAGATGCATTTAAACCTAGTATTACTGTGGTCTCTCCCCCCCCCCCAATCTCTAAACTGTTAGGCTTACCTAAACCTATACTATCTGTGAGAGTAAGGAAGAGGATTTGAAATATGCAGGAATTGTTACTTAGGCAAAAAGGGCTGAAATATTTTTTAAGACGAGAGAAACATTCAGAAGTAATTCAGGTAAATACCTGTCTCATTCTCTGGTGGGAGATGTACAGCACAATCACACTGACAGGCTTTTATTACTCTATCCCTGTGATGGTGACCCTATGGCACACGTGCCAGAAGTGGCATCTCTGGGCACGCACGCCGGGCACCTGGTCTTCAGATTTGTGCGCGCCGGCCAGCTAGTCTTCAGGTTTCTGGGGCTCTGGCGCACGGATGTGCATTCTGGTTTGGTCACTCACTGCCAAAAAGGTTCGCCATCACTGCTCTAGCCCATTTATGCTTCTAGCCCAACTGAGTGGGGTTGACGCTTAAGAGTTTTTCTTCAAAACCAGCTAACTGCCTTCACTGGGAAATTCCTAGCACTTCTTTCAAGTAACTCAGTTCTTCCACACTGATGTTTGATCATAAATCAGTGACTCACACTGCTGACTCCTTTTTTTGAGGAAAATTTTTGAAGTTCATTAATCTCTTCAAGGATTTTTGTATTTGTAAGGAGCTCAAACATGAAATGAACTTTGATTATTTGCATTTGAATTCAAAGAATGAGTGTTACCGGCATCTCCTTGAAAGAGATGGACGGTCTAGAAATGTGAAATATAAATAATCTTATGACAATAGATGGAGGAAGGAGTATTATATATGTTGGCAGCCTTGAGTTGCTTATAAAGTAATAAAGGTGGGCTAAAAATCAAATAAATACATGCCTATATACTAATTGCCTATTAGTATATATGTGCCTATATACTAATTGCCTTTAAGTATATATGTGCCTATATACTAATTGTATCCCTTTTAAGTAAGCTTTGTGGGTATCATATAAAATTAAGACATAACAAAGTACAATGGAAGGTATGCAAATGAATTGTAGAAAGGACCTGGGATGTTGTTGTTTAATGATATTAAAGGTATTGTTGCAGGATGTAAGCTAGTCCAAGTAAAGTTGCCTTTTGCAATTGACTGATGAATGAATTTGTCAATACAGATGATGTTCAAGTGATGCTTCTGATGTTTCTCGATTGCATTCAAGACCTATTAATATGGGTACCGTCTTTGCTTTCTTTTACCATAGTCATTCTGCTTCTATTTGCAGGTTTTTGTATTTTCTAGTTCTCTCCAGTTCTTTCTCTTCTCTTCTGCTGTCCCCAGGAACTGCCACATCCAATATCCAGATTTTTAAAAAATCTTTCTTATCAGCAATTGTTAAGCCTGAGATATGTTGTTGCAGGTCCTTGCCTGTCAGAATTCTAAAGTCCCAGAGCACTTTAGCTTCTTCGTTTTCTATTATTTTGTCTATATTGTGGTCCATCAATTATTGTTTGGAGGAAGTGGTATTTCTTGCAGATATTCCAATTCCAATGCACCATTGTTCTTACTTTGTTGTGTTGTTGTTTGTAGTCAGTCTGTGTGTTCTTCTTGCAGCAGTTAACCTGGCGATCTACTGTTTCTTCAGCTTCTTTGTAGAGACAGCATTTGTTGTCTTTTGCTGTCATCTCAATTGTGGCCTTGTATGCATTTGTTCTTACAGTTTGGTCTTGTGCAGCCAGAATTAGCTCCTCTGACTCTTCAACTTTTCTGCTCTTAGCCGTTACCAGGTCTTGTTGTTAACTGCTTTAGGTAATATTTGTTTGTTTAATTTATAGTGAAAATGGGGAGAAAAGTTATTTAGAAATTTAAGGAATGTAATCTGCATTGTATTTCTATTTTACAAATATGTAAAATACACAATAAAACAGTCTATTCAATTTTAAAGCAGAATGTCAACTAAATTAATGCCAAAACTCAGGTGTCATTCTTCATTGAATCTTTATTTCTTGAAAAACATCTACAGTTAAAAAATCCCAAATGCCAATGGTTATTACATTCTAAATGTATGTTTCAGTTGTGTCAGCATTTCTCACTAGTTGGAATAATGATGATTGACTTTATATTAAAACATGAATGGAAGTATTTGTTTAAACTGCAGTTAGCATTTAACTCCCTCAGACAGTATGGCTATTCTGTCTTGGATGATAGTTAAGAATATAAGATTGGGGTAGAGTATTCAGAACTGAGGTTGAAAGAACATACCTGTAGGATTTTAATATTGCTCACTGGCGATAATTACAACATTGAAAGAAATGATTATGGAGGGCCCAAAGAGAATGAAGTCACAATATATCTAGTCCCACATTTTAAAATGGAGATAAGTACTGGCTTGTGGGCTATTAATCCAGAAAGATCAGAGAGTGCTCTCCCAAGTCCCTATGATTGAACAGTGTCATCCATGGGGATCAAAGAAGACTGCCTTGTTTGTTACATCACCACCCCAGAGACCCATCTGTTTCTACCCTGATGATATTCCAAAAGCCCTTGAAAACTTGGTGTAATCCCAAACATTAGGGCAGGTTGGGTTTAAAGGCCCTATAAATTGTCTCGTTGGTATGCTTTGCATTTTTTCCCTGCATGTGCATGATTCTTGATCTCTATTTTATGTTTTAAGTGTAAGCCATCCAGAGTAATCAGGAGCCAGGTTGTCTAAATTTAAAAAAAATTAAAGCAAAGAAATGAATAAATAAATATCTTGCAACATGGGGAGTGAAGGAAGAAACTGGGCACGCTGAATTAAGGGACCATTGTGAAACCAACTGGAAAGAATTTAGTACAAAAATCCAATGGGCCATGAAGGTTACTCGGGAATCTTAGTCCAGTGACTGTCTCTTGGCCCAATTTATCCATCGGGATTCTAGTTAACATAATGCCTCTCTTCCTTCTGAAAAGTAGAATACTATAGTCTTCCTTGGCCAGAAGATAGCAAGAGCAGAAAAGTAACTTTTGGTGGTCCTTGATTTACAAGTGGTTGCTTAGTAACCAAAGTTATGGTGGACCTTAAAAAAGCTATTTATGACCTGGATTTGAAGTTCCAATGTCCAGGGTCTCTCTGTGGTCACATGACTGCATTTTGGGTTCTTGGTAACTGACCCACATTTATGGCCGTTTGCAGCATCCCACAATCATGTGATTGCAATTTACAACTTTTTTCCGGAAACTGGCATTTACTTCCAGTTTCCAGGAAAAAAAAGCCCCATGACAAATAATGGGCTCATTTAATGACCACTATGTTCATTTAACAACTGCTGCATTTGCTTAACGACCACCTCAAAAAATGTCGTAAAATCGTGTGCTGTCCCTGTCTCCACACACACACAAACACAGCCAGCCGAGGGTTAAGAAAGCACTGGGCACGCACACAGGTCGTTATCTCAAACTTGGCAACAATATAAGCATCGTCTGCCAAGAGCTTTACTGCAACAGATAACATAAAATTACATACGCATTGTAAATAGTCCAGCAAAACAATATCCCTTCGGCAGCTTCAGGCGTTGTTCAAGTGACTAGCCAGAGTTAGTTTTTGTTCGTCACAGAGTTTACCAGCCACCACCCTCTCTTATATAGTCTCTGGGGTGTGGTCCAGTGACTCAGCTATAATCCCTAGCACGCCTCCTTAACTGCTGCAACCGTTTATCATGCCTTCGTTGGCGTGCATCCAGGAACGATGGCTCTCCTTCCTCGCTCTCATCAGAGACACCTGGCTCCTGGCCAATCTCCCCTTCCTCGGCCGGCACCTGAGGCAGTGCCAGAGGGGAGGGGTCTGGAGAGGGAGGCCTGGCTGACTCCTCTCCCTCATGTTCGGAGCCTTCTTCCTCCGATGAGATAGGCTCAGAGGGCGGGGCCACAACAATAGGTTTCATTAGTTTATATTCAGATAAAATATACATGTTTGGTCCAAGTTCAAAATAATCCCTGGCCCTTTAATTCTGGAGATGAATCAAAATGATTGTTCTGATTCACTTAAGAAAAAGGAAAGAGATTGGGGTTAAACTTTAAAAGACCAAGGTTACTGCAAGACAGAAGTTCTATGATGTTCACTGTTAATTTGTTTTGGTAGATGAAATCTTCCAGAATGACTTTTATTGCTTGGCTGCTTGTGTGCCTTTTGGATCAATCAGCTGGTTACCCAAATGGAAAAGTATCCGAATCCTGTGACTCTATGTTGCCTTTTCATGGAGGGTCACCCCAGAAATTTCCCAAGCATACCATTGAAGTGAACGTGACAGAATTTAAACCAGGAGATCGTGTGAAAGGTATTGATTTTTGCCAGGGCTCTCTTATGGTGCTAACACCATCTTCTCATGTTTTTGTGCTTGTTATATACAGGTAGTCCTCAACATACATTTTAGTTTAGTGGCCGTTCAAAGTTACAATGGCATTGAAAAGTGGCTTATAACCATTTTTCACACTTATGACTATTGCAGCATCCCCATGGTCACTTGCTCAAAATTCAGATGCTTGCCAAGCAACTCATGTTTATGACAGTTGCAGTGTCCCTGGGTCATGTGATCTCCTTTTGTGACCACCTGACCTTCACTAGGGAAGCCAATATTCACTTAACAGCCATGTTCCTAACTTAACAACTTCAGTGATTCATTTAACAATGGTGGCAAGCAAAGTCATAAAATGGGGCAAAATTCACTTAACAAATGTCTCAGCAACAGAAATTTTGGGCTCAATTTTGGTTGTAAGTCGTGGACTAAATATACTTTTTAAATATGAACATTTATATAGTAACTTCTTTAATTGTACTGCATGCTGCATACAGATCACTTCTTTCTTGGTGGGATGGGCAGCCATTCAAATTTGGCCATTTCCCCCCCCCACTGCCTTCTTTCCCCCCCACATCTTCCTTCAGAGATGTGGTTGAAATGCTGGTTATAGGTTAGCTTTCCCTAGTGGGTTGGAATGTTGGGCCCAGTTTGAGTTCATAATGGTTCATTCCTAATGTGCGAGTATAAACTATAAACTACATTTATAATAAGCTCTACTGGTTTTTCCACTCTTAAAGTTGGGTTGTTTCCAGAAGAAGCCTAGGGCAACTATGCACTTTTATTATCCTAGCAACATAAGTTTTTCAAGAGTGTTTTCTAAATTACCATGTACCATTCTAGGCAGCTGCCATCTTGTCTGTCTTAACTCAGGTTCTGTAACTGAAGTTTGTTTTAGATTATAGTATCTGGTTTGATTTTGTTTTTTAAAAAGAGAGTGTGTAACATTCAAATAATGTGGTAAACATAAAGGTAACATTGTTCCAGGTACCAATGACAAGGTACATTGTATTTTAAATGTATTCTAGTTGCATTATAATTCCCATAACCAGCTTAGCCATTGAAGAGAATTCTGGGAGTAGAAGTCGACACACACCTGGCAATTGGCAAGTTTACAAAATGCTGGATTTGAAACCTGCTCCTTTTGCCAGAATAAACTGAGATTCATCTCCATTCCTTTTCTCAAATTCTTGATTTTAGTTAGTTTTTCTGGGCCTACATTTGAAGGCTTTTTGCTACAAGCTCGCAATGCTGACCGCTTGGAAGACCTGCCCATTGGTTCTTTTGCATTAGCTGATCGGAGACGATCTCAGCTCCTTAGATGTGGACATGTAAAGGTAAGAAAATCTTGAAAATGGCTTCTGCCAGTCAATTTTGACTAGCTTTTGAGCAATAAATAATGTAGGAAGACCTCTTAACACTGTTGCTTTAAATGACTGTTTTATTTTTGCATCAGTTTTGTATTGGAATTAGTCAACACTAAGGATGCTTTAATAATACTTTTTCCTTTACAGACTATTTTTCCTTTATAGATTATGTTTAAATATTAGAGTTCCCTCTGCTGGTTATCCGATGCAGAATAAATTAGTAACTGTTAGCACACTACATTGCCATGTTTTTGGTATATCCTTCCTTGTATGCTTTTTATCTGTTAACTTTTCAGAATATTTTTCTGATGGACATATTCAAATTCTAGAGCAATGTGCAGATTGGATAATATTGATGAGTTTCTTGTGGATTCAGATAATAACAGAAATGAATCCTCAAGTTGCTGAAAATTTAAACAGGTGGTATGCTGATATTAAAATGAAACATGATTTGCTACTTTCTCTGAGTAACACAACTCTTTGTAGGGATGGCTTACCTGAGAATATGTAGGCTAGAGGCTATAATACGAAAATATAATAAAATAGTAAAAGCACCTTCAAATAAAAGAACCATTAAAATGAAATATTAAAATATCTAATACCAGTAAGCCACGGAAATCTTTAAAATTAAAAGCTGAGGTAAATCATCTGAGAACATAATCCATTTTTAGGCAGAATAAAACTCCTGGTGCATAAATTCATCGCCTTAAATGGTTTATGATGTATGAACTCTGACTGCCTTTCATATGGAATTGCTCATACATTAACCCTAGTTATTCCAGTTAAGTTGTTTGTCACCACAATAATTGGATTTACATCACGCTAAATCATAAAGTGGTTTGTTAGATTTCTGTTAACAGCTGTCTGTTTTAAGATGTGCCTGTCACAATTGGGTTTATGTATAATGTTAAACAATAAACTGTTGTTTTTTTTTACTGTAAAGTTGCATTCATATAACATACTAAGCTAAACTAATCAGTTATATCTTAATCAGTATGGTATGTTGAACCAAATCATAGTTTTTGTATGGCTTGGTATTTGTGAACCAGTTATCATGAATTGTTAGATTGGAATTTAGTATGGTCTATAAATCAAATTATTGAGTTGGTTCATACATTTTACTAAGTCATTATATATTTTGCTTTCTGACTTGATGCATTGTTGGCACTCAAGTGGTTGTGGCTTATTCAAAAAGCCATTGTTAATACAGTGGCTTGATAAAGTGCCATGTATGAATCCAACCATTATATAATGCTAAAATGGGGCTTCTGTATTTTGTAGAACTCAGCTGTTAGTCACACCAGTAAATCTAAGAAAGACCATATGGATGCTTATTGGATTGCTCCTAGAGATGCACCAAAGAACATACAATTCCTGTAAGTGTATTAAAATAATTTTCCTGTTTGGATGTTCTGAGGTATTCCTTTCAATAATATGTATGGCCTGTAGAATATGAAAGATATACAAATCTCTGAATTGAATGTCATGTTGACAAAGCCCTACATGATCCTTCAGTCTTCACATATCAGTGTTACAAGTAATCCCTGTCTTATTTGTACAAAGCAGCAGGCAAGAGCTTCAGCTCAACTTGAACCAAGGTTGAACCCTCTTATGTCAGTGGTTCTCAAACTTTTCTTTGCCATGGACCCCCTTAAAATACCTTTTGTGGGCATGGACCATGGCCACAGACCCCCCCAAGACCTAACTCAAGATTTAAATCATAACATTTCTTCAAGACTTTGCAGACCCCCTGTGATGACATCACTTAAATATGAGCCAGCAGTGTGCTGCAGCTGCCAAAAAAGCCAACACATTTCTAGGCTGAGTTAACAGAGGGATAGAATCAAGATCACATAAAGTGTTAATACCACTTTATAATGCCCTGGTAAGACCACCACACTTGGAATACTGCAGCCCCCTTTGGTTGCCACGATGTAAAAAAAAATGGTTGAGACTCTAGAAAGAGTGCAGTAGAAGAGCAACAAAGATGATTAGGGGTATGTCTAGTTTAATGAAAAGAAGGACTAGGGGTGACATGAAAGCAGTGTTCCAATATATAAGGGTTGCCACAAAGAAGAGGAAGTCAAGCTATTCTCCAAAGCACCCGAAGGCAGGATGAGAAGCAATGGATGGAAACTAAGCAAGGAGAGAAGCAACCTAGAACTAAGGAGAAATTTCTTGACCTAGAACAATTAATCAGTGGAATAACTTGCTTCCAGAAGTTGAGAATGCTCCAACACTGGAGGTTCTTAAGAGGAGATTGGACTACCATTTGTCTGAAATGGTATAGAGTTTCCTGCCTGAGCAGGGGTTTGGACTATAGAAGACCTCCGAGGTCTCTTCCTATTTTGTTATTCTGTATTCTGACATCACAGCTCCCAGAGTCCACAGACCACAGGTAGAGAACCACTGCTCTAGGTAATTAGGAGCTGTCTCAGAGCTTCTATTTAGTCTGAAGAATGGTATAATGTAGACATCCGGAAAATTTTCTTTTCATTAGTTTAGCTTCTCTGTATCTAGACTGATCACCTGCAATACTAAACTAATAAATAAAATTAATAAAACTTAATTAATAAAAAATATTATAAAAATATTTATTAATAAAAAATTAATAAAACTAAACTAATACAATTAAGAAACTCAAAAGATCTGCAGAATAAATGCCACAAAGATTGGATATGGTCTCTTCTTTGTTATGATTGATATCTGTATGAATCCTTGGGACTTTTGCCTCTGTAGTCATTGGGTATGGTTGTTTGTCCTATCACTTTATAATTAGGAATCAACATTTAAATAACTCTGGAATGGGTAGCCTTCTTAAAGGAATGAATGCTGGATTTTCTGGGTTAATTTAGATGGAAGTTTGATGGGATCATTTTTTAAAAAGTTATTGTACATCTGTGTTAGGGTATCTTTACAGTTCAAATGTAAACTAACAGGCTTTGTCTCTTCACAGAGTCACAGTTGTACAAAAATTCAGTATCTACTGGGTAAAAATTCCTGGTCCTAAGATTTCTCAATCTACTATACTTCCTTTGACAACAATAATGTCTACTAATAGGACCATTCCAACATCCTTGCCTATCTCTTCCCTAAGCCAACCAGTAAGTAGTAATGAGTTAATTGATTTTTGTTATTGTTTATTGCTGCATTTTCCTACACATAGCAGAAAAACCTATTACTAATGTATTGAGGCGGTCTATACATTTCATGAATAAATATTTGTGCAAAACCTTATTTCAGTTATCATATGCATTCTCTAGATGAGTGTTTCTTAAAAATTGCTTTTCTTGGAACCACTTCCCAGTTTTAAAAATTATGGAGCACCCCGAAAGAGCTTTTGTTTCTTTGGGTTGTATTTATCTTTTCTTAATAAATATTTTTTTTATTAAAAGAAGATTTTACAAAAAAGTTTAAAAGCTACTGAAACATAGAAGAAGAAATGGAAAAAGACTATAAAATATTATATTTTTTTGTAAAAATGAAAATGAATAACAAAAAAGCATGGAAAAAAATCTTTAAAAATGACTTCTCCAAACTTCTTTGTAGCAGTTACAAACATAACAATTACTGGTTAGAAGGTATAATTTTTATCTTGGCTCCAACATTTTAGGAATGGAGACCTTTTGGGTCAAGATTCAGATTGGTTAGGAGGCGTACAATATTTAGGGTATCTTGGTAAATTATATGCCCTTCCTGGAAAAATGGCTTTGAGGGGTGATGTTTGGGGATCCTATCTCAGTATTTTAATTATGATTTTATATTGCCCAAACTCTTTTGAAATGCAGCATACAATTTTTTAAATATAAGTAAATGAATAAAATTACGAGAGACTGTCTAGAGCTTTGGATGTTTAGATGTTTTATTGATGATTTTGCTTTTTTATTAGATATTGCAATTTTTATGTTTCACTTGATTTACAAATGTTGGGTACTGTATCTACACTCAGTCATCTGTACCTGGAGCAGCACATAAGCCCAATAAATAAGTTAATGGAAAAATGCAGATCAGCATATTCAATCTAGTCAAGGTTACAAAGTCCTTAAAGGCTCAGATCTGCATTTTTGAGCACTCCTTGTTTAGGCCTGACTTTGCTCAGGTTTCAGTGACAGCTAGAAGTATACTTGCATGCTAAATCTAATGTGTAACTGCATGCATGCTTGGAGATATTGGATCTGGCCATAGCAACGCATGCCTTAATTATATCCCGCTTGAATTACTGTATTACTATAGTGCATTCTATACGCGGCTTCTTTTAGAAAGTTGGAAAGTTCATTGATGTGGCCATTGATCTGTTTCTGGACAAAATTCAAAGTGCTGTCTAGAGCCTATAATGGCACATGTCATATGCAAACACGTTCTTTGAAAAGTGACATGTTTCCAGATGGGACTAACTGGAATTCATGGCTTTGGGGAAGAATCTTTTCTCTTTCCTGCCGTAATAAGAGATCAATATGACAGGAACTTGAGATGCTGCTCCAAGGCTATAAACTTCCCTGCCAAGGGAGGTCTGACTGTTTCTATCTCTCCTACAAGTAAGTCTGAAGGCATTAAAAAAATAAAATAAATATCCTTTATTAAACATACCTTAAGGTTTTAATTGAAGAGATTTTGCTCAAATGACGTATTACTTTGAATTGCAAATAATCAAACTTGATTTGATGCCTATTATTGACCATATCCAGGGGTGGGCTGCTGGGGGCTCGCAGGGGTTCGGGAGAACCTCTAGCTAAGATTCTGTGCAGTTCAGAGAACTCCCAAATCCCACTCCTGGCTGGCCCCGCCCACCCCACCCTTCCCAGGAGTCCCTATGCGGCCCGTTTTGGATGTAGGTAAGTGCAGGGCACGGAGGCTCAAAAACTGGGCCTACTGGAAGTTCAGGAAGGCTGGAAATTGCCCTGTTTCTGGCCTCCAGAGGGCCTCCGGATCCTGGGGAGGCCTCCGGAGCCCGTGGAGGGCAAACTCCCCCAGTGCAGGAGGCCGACTAAGCCACGCCCACCATGGCCACACCCACCCAGCAACCAGGCAGAGAACCCCTTGCTAAAATTTTTGAAGCCTACCCCGGCCATATCTAGTAGCATTTTAGTGGACTATCAACAATTGTACTTAATAGGTACTTTCCAGCAGTGACATCATAATATAGATAAAATGATTGGGGCAGTTATTTACCTCTTATACTTCTAGGTTTATCATTTATTTGTTAGTTATACATTTAAAAATGCTAGAGTTTCCTTTATATTTGGTTGCTTTATTTACTTAAACATTGATATGGCTGCTCACATTGTATAAAACAAGCCCTAGGTAAGTAACAGCCACATATACAAATAACAAAAAATACAACAAAATTAAGACTCTAACCCAGTGGTTCTCAACCTGTGGGTCGTGACCCCTTTGGGGGTCGAATGACCCTTTCACAGGGGTCGCCTAAGACCATCGGAAGACACATATTTTCAATGGTTTTAGGAATAATTTTATGGTTGGAGGTCACCACAACATGAGGAACTGTATTAAAGAGTCGCGGCATTAGGAAGGTTGAGAACCACTGCTCTAACCTATCATCAGGCACTCTAACACTGCATTTCCAGAAGAGAAATGTTGAGCTCATCTCCCATCCTAGCTCAACACCTGAGAGAAAAAAGGCAGATCTTAATGACCTTCTGGAAGGCAGAGATGGTAGGGATCTTCCATAACTCAAGGGGAGACTGTCCGAAATACAAAGTGCGACTACAGAAAGAGCTGGCTTTTTAGGTGCCACCGAATGGCAACATTTAAAAGAGGGGAACTGGGGCACAACCATCCTTACCCAATATGGAGGGATGGTTAGATGTCATTGAGAAGAGGAAATATCTTAAATAACATGGTCTGTACCATGCAGGGTTTTAAAGGTGAAAACAATCACCTTATATTGCACCCCAAAATAAACTAGAAGCCAATGCAGCTCTCACACAGCAGTGGTGTAACATGGGCAAAATATAGAGCATTCAGAACAGTACACACTGCTACATACTTGACTGGTTGGAGTCTTCAACCATATGTCCATATAGAGTGGTTCAAATGTCTTGGTTTAAATGGGAAGTGATTAATGTGTGGGTTATCCTGAGCACACTTCCTAGATATTAAGTCTGTCTGTCTAAATTTATATGGCAAGAGTACTGTCATGGCTGTCTAAATAAAGTGGTGGGATTTTTTTTTTTTTGAAAAATTAATTTTTAGGCTTTTTGCAAAATGAACAAAATTCTGTCATCTTTAAAAAAAGAAGGGGGCCCTGTGCATTTTTAACCTGCAAAGAGTTAGTAATTACTAGAGCACTTTGCATTGGTTTAAAAAGCCTTTAATTGTTCTACAGAACGAATATCTATATCTGTATTGTACAATTAAGTGTCTGTCTAGGATAGGGCTGTAATTGTAGTGTGCATCCCAAATTATAGACTTCCATTGCTGTGATGTCAAGTATCTGGCTTAAACAGAATTGTGGATTTGAGGCTTAGAGCATAATAATTGCCAGAAAAATGAACTCTTTAAAAATACTTTAATATGAAAAGAAATGAACCGAAACAACAAAACAAAACTGATTAAATAACATATAAATAGATAAACTTATTTTTCAAAATATAATTTTATATTAACATAATTATATTATGTTTTTGAAAAGAAAGATTAAAAACTAATACAAATTAATGTAAAATACGGGGAAAAAGAAATAAAGCTAAAAGTACAACAAAAGAAAAAAACAAAAACAAAAACAGAAAAGAAAAAAGATATAAAGTAATACTTTCCAATTATAAGTACTAATATAATATATTATTACAATATGTAAATATAATAAATGTTACCAGTACAATTACAAATTTACTTCTATGGTTTCAACATAACTCTCTTCTTTCAATAATTTAATTCATTAAAACCATAAACACTAAGCTTTTTTTCTGTTTTATGCAAAAAAATCCATAAGGGGTTTCCAGCTAGCAATAAATAGATAGCTTTTTCTTGTTTCATATTTGAGTCAATTTAGCCATCTTAAGAAGTTCCATCATCTTTACCAACCATTCCTCTCTTGTGGGATAATGCTGAGCCTTTCCATCTTTGTACATACAATAATCTTGCAGCAATTCTCATGTATGAGAACAAAATCCTTATTGGGATTTGTCCTTCAATCCTAAAAGAAAAACTTATGGTTTCCATTGTATATTAATTTTTAAAAACTACTGAATCTGTGTGTGTATTTGAAATTTTCTAGCTTTTTTAAAAATGGCCCCTCCTTTGTGGGGCGCTGTAGAGCTCAGTGCTTTCTCCGCTCCTTTTTAACGTGCACATGAAACTGCTGGGTAAGATCATCCTTTACCAAGGGACAAGGTGTCACGAATATGCTGATGATATCCAGCTATATATCTCCATCCTGGGTGAAGTGTGTGATGCAGTGGACATACTTTCATGGTGTCTGGTGGCTATGGGGGTCTGGATGGGGAATTAGACATTTCAACTGAACCATGGTAAGGCAGAGTAGCTGTGAGTGGGGCCACTGTATCTGGGAGTTTATCACTTTTGGTCTTGAATGGAGTCGCACTACCCCTGAAAGACCCAGTGCATAACTTGAGGGTCCTCTTAGATGCACAACAGCCTTGGTTCACAAAATGCACTGGGTCCAGTATTGGCCATAACCTATAAAGCTCTACATGGCATGTGGCCAGGCTTCCTGTGGGGCCAGCTATGCCTCATCACGTCAGCCCAACCCACTCAATCATATGCTGCAGATCCTGTCAGTCGAAGAATTTTGACTGGCAGGGTCTAGGAAGTGAGCCTTCTCTGCCACTGCCTCCACATTATGGAACATCCTTCCTCCAGGGGTGAGATGGGCCCAAATTGTCCTGGCCTTGATAGAGGGGCCACAAAGATCCATGTAACTTTGGGGCTGACTGGTGCCATGAGAGCCTTCTCCCCGCCTTATTACCAATGTTAAATGACCATCTTGGAATTGTTATTTTTCTTTCTTTGAAAGAAAATTTTATAATGTTATAATCTTACAATTTTTAAAATTTATAATCCTAAATTAATCTTAATGTTTTATTGTTAATTTTATATGCTGTTTTATATGTTGATTATACTGTACACTGTTCAGAGCCCCTCCTTGAGGAAGATGGGCCATCTGGAAACATGAAATATAAATAAATGTAGAACCAAATTTTTTAGCTCACTGTATCATACATTTTCACTTGTTCTTATTTCAAATTTCAACAAAACTTTATACCTTTTAGCAATTACATGTTCATCATCTGCATACAATTCTATTTCAAATTCAGTCTTACAAAACCATAGATTTATTTATCTAACTTTAAATCTTTCTAATAGTTGTAAGAACACCATTGACAACTGTATCCCTTTTTTTTAAAAAAAGTTTTTTATTGTAAAATATAATAATACAATTCGAACATTTCCGGTTCCGCAGTGTTAATACATATATACATGTTATTTACTTATTATTATTTACATGGTATTGCTTCCTTGCATTATATTTGGTTTGAAAGATATTACATATAGTCATACACAATTATTTATAATCATATATACCTATTATTTACTTATTATTTACATATTCTTATATCCTTACTCAATTGCAGTTGATACTACAAGTAGGAATACTCGATTCTATATAATCATTATTAATTGATTATTAGATTGAACTTTATACTCCTCGAGCTTCACTTTTTGTTTCTTTTCTCTATCCACTCATACTCTGGTTTCTCTTCAGATTGTATAAATCTTTCGCCTTTTAACTGTATCCCTAAGCCACCAGTTCTTTTCTTGATTTTATTTTACATTACCCTTAACAAAATTCTAGTATCATGTGACTAGTTAGGCATTTGTGTTTGCCTGCTATTTCTCATCTATAAAATGGTTCTTGTGCCGAGAGCCACAAAGGTGTTTTGGGGCACAATTTTTAATCGGTAAATAGAACATTGTGGTTGTGGGAAATGTATTTCTCTTGTATTTCCCTTAACCCCTATATTTAATGTATTTCCCTTAAACCCTATAACTGAGTTACTGATGCTCTGGAAATGCCACATTTCTCAAGCACTGGTATGTGGAGTAATACAACCTTGCTTTTTGTCTTCTTAGTTCAACGCTTCAGACTGTGGAGATCGCAAGTTCTGTGTGAGAAATCCAACACACTGTGACCCTAAAGCCAACAATTGCTTCTTTCTCTCCTTCAAACAAGATTATGACTCAGTATGGATTGAAATGAGCGGTCCCAGTGAAGGCTATATTGCCTTTGCATTATCTCATGATCAATGGATGGTTAGTAAGTCCTCTGACACCTGGAAAAACGGCAGCATCTTTTGAGGCTATTCCTATGGTTGTTTATTATGGTTTTAATTTGGGTAATTTCTATAGTATACATGAGCAAAAGAGTGGTGTTCATCAAAATGTTTCCTATATGAATTTGTTTATTAAACCACCCAAGATGGTAATGTTTTTCTGACATAGCTTGTAGCAGGGATAGTTTAAAAAAAAAGGTTAGCACAGCATCTATTCTAGCTACATTCTGTCCAAGTTAAATAAGCACATTAACAATGGTCAAAATCTTGTGCAATCATGAAATCTCAGATTCTACCATTCTTATTGGAAATCTTGCAGTGAGATTAAGATATTTGATAGGGGGAGAGGGAATTCCTAGGCAATTATGGGAGGTCATGTATTAACATCCAAGGTCTGAGAAAACCCTTAACCCTCTGTAATAGGATAAATGTTGCATAATTTCTGACATACTCTCTTTTTTATTGGGCCAATGGTATTATTTAGGGCTCATTTCTTATGAATTTGTACCTAAACTATTTTAATGAAACCCTGCATTATTATGTTTACCAGATTTTTCAGTCACCGGTATTTGTCCTTTGAGGTGGAATGTAATGATTCTCATAGCCTTGGGTCTACTAAATAAAACATCAATGAGATGTATCTCTAGTTCATCCTTCTACAACCTGATACCTTCCAGATTAATTTACAATTAGTAATGCTTGTAGATTAATGTACAATTTTCAATTTTCATGGTTCAAAACCCAAACCTTTTTTAGAATCATACTTGCACAATGCAGTTATAAAGGTCACAAGAAGTGCTATATTGCAGCAAGTGATAAGCAGCACTTAAAAAAAACAAAGTATGGCCCTGGGTAGAAAGAAAGAAAAATAAAAAAAATGAAAATTACCAATTTATGAAATGACTAAATCACAGCTAGCATGTTAAGTGCATGCCTAATGTAACATGTTTAGAGGATACCATTTGGGGAGGCTGCATTTAATTATTAACCTACTCTAAATTTGAATATGGGCCATGTAGACTTGCGAACTAAAGTGGAAAAAGAGTTTAATAATCTCTTGCTATTTCCAGGGTGGTGGTGATGATGCATATCTCTGCATTAGTGAAGTTTATTGTGCTGACATCAGGACAGCTTTGCTGGTTGGGCGATCTTATCCAGAATTTGACTCGAAGGTACTGTAATTTCATGTCATTACAGGGTTGAACTCTGAATGCTCTTGTTACAAAATACCTTGCACAGTACAAACAAATAGGTTAAGATAAGTTGTCTTGCTAACAGAATCCATGGAGACCTGTGATTTTGTCCCATTTTGTCATGCAGAATCCAGACTTCTGTATAAAATCTACTTACGTTATGGAAAACAACTGCAAAAGTTAAAAGAAGCTGTTTAAAGGGGTTGCACTTTAGGAAACTTTATCCTGTCTCTGGCTCTCCTCTGCGGAGTTATTTTTATGCATTTTGAACAGTACTATGTAATGGAGAATTCTAAACTTAATAAGTCTGTATACAGTTGTTCTATGTAATTATTATGTTGCTGAACAAAGCAATATATATGGCCTTTCTTCAACTATTTCTACAGAATGTAGATATGGTGGTTGTTACTCTATGCACGGATTAGTATGTCTCAGAGGAAAAATTACATGCACTATCAATATTTTAGGTCCCAAGTTGGATCAAGATGTTTGCATTTAACTGGCTTCATTTTGCAACAATAAATATTAGAGAAACCATTGCCTCCTTCCTGACAAGTTCAGCATATATCTGTTTTTACTGGCATTGTAGAAAACCAGTAAAGATGCTACATGATAACGGAGTTAAGAGAACTGTACTTTAAGGTTTCAAGTGTCCTTTGAATGATTCAATATTGAGGTTCATTTGAAGGATCCAGTTTTTGTTTAATTACGTGATTGATAGGGTTAGCAAGCCCCAAATTGGCTGCCGAAAAATGATCAATCTAGTTATATGTTGGCCTTTTAGTTTTCACAAGCATTGAAGTTTTTATAAGCCAGCAGGATGGTTCTGAAGACATTTGAGAAGGTCACTAAACTTAAAATGGGAAGTAGCCATGACTTGTCTAGCTAAATATTTCTTATCTGCTTTGTAAAATTCAGCTAATTAAACCTGTTCAGGTTTGGTATGTTCCTTCTTTGATAATGATAAGTACCTGATAAGCTTTTGACAGAAGTAGTCACAATATATGTGATGTTTTATCTTTTGAGATACAAAAGTTAAATCTGCATTGCCTGTTTCTTAGAGTGCTTTGCAGAATATATCTTGGAGACTGGCTGATGGCCTTATCCAGTGTTCTTTCAGAAGAAGAATTCGCCTTCCAGCTTCTACAGGAAGATATAATCTGGATGCAAACTATTACATATTTCTGGCTGATGGTGAAATCAGCACAGGTAAAAAGTTTGACTGTAGGAAAAAAAATCTGCCTGAACATTAAGTTTCACACCAGGCATATTTTTCATGCTGAATTCCAAGCATTACTTGGTCTTCGCCTGTTGCCAGCTAATGTTTGGGTTGGAGAAGGAAAAATAATTCTTGATTCTTGATTAATCTTAATGGGGTTGTGGAATTAATAATAGGTACAGATATGGCAACCTTTCTCTTCCTTGAGTCTTTAACATATTGGATTTGTACTTTGTAGAGTTGCACCGTGCTTGCAGCTGCTGTCAATATGAAACTAAATAAATTTTTTCTCCTCCTTATTTCTATTGGTACATGAGGTTGAATATGATCTTTCTATTGCAGATTCACAATATGAATAGCAATGGAAGTTTCATACAAGACTTCATACTAAATTTTTAAGAAATGCCCAAGCAGTTTAATCTGGATTGCTGCTTTCCAGCGGTGGTCTATGACTCTCATCATTCCCAAACAGCATTTTTATTATACTGTCAGATTAAGCTGAGAGTTATAAATTAACACATTTGGAATGTAAATCTTAGCCACAAAGGAGATTCTGATGTCACAATTATATTTATTTATTACTTCAATTCGTATAGCCATTCATTTCAAATAGAGTACTCTGGATGGCTCAGAGTAATTAAAAGCAATATAAAAAACCCCAAACAATACAAAAAAACCCTTAAGTGGTAAGAACAATATAAACACCATGTAATAACACAGTGCATAGTCAAGTGACAGCAAAACCCATCAACAATAATCAACATAGCCACTGTACAGGCACTATCCACACCCAGTTCCCCACACTGATAGCAAAATTAAGTCTCTAAGGCCCTATGCAATGCCAGTAGGATCGGAGCTAATCTAGGGGGATAATGTTCCAAAGGAGGGAACACAACAGAAAAGATCTTTTCTTGGGCCCCACCAGATGGCATCCCTAGTAGGTGCAACGTAGAGCGTTTATTATTTTATTAATAAAATAATAAATTTTATTAGATGTAGACAGATGTAGTTGGAGAGAGGTGGTCTTTCAAGTAACCTGCACTATAAAGGGTCATCACCAGCACCTTGAATTGAATCCAGAAGCAAATCAGTAACCAATGCAACTTGCAGAGTAGAGGTGTAACTTGTGCTGAATGAGGAGTGCACAATAACCATCTACAAAGCTGCATTCTGCACTAGCTGAAGTTTCCAATACTTTTCAAGGGCAGCCTCCTGTAGACTGCATTGAGTTGTCCACATGGGATGTGTGATTGTGTGAGGGATTGTGAGCAGGGCCTCCCAGGTTTTACCTGCTACTGGCTACTGGCATGCAACACACAGTTTACCTGCTACTGGCTACTGGCATGCAACACACAGTTATACAAAGCTGTTCCTGGCCACAACTGCCACTTATCCCTTGAATACAGTAGGAGCCAGAAGGACCCCCAAATTGTGCACAGGTTCTGCTTGTGCTTGTGTAACCCCATCCAGAACAAGAGATGGAAACTTCCCAGAATCAGGGGTCCCCAAAACCCAAAGCCACTAGGTTGGTCTACACCCTTCAGACATTGAGACAGGACCACCTAGTTCATAGCACCACCTAAATGGCTCGCAGCAGAAATAAACAGCATACTGATGATTGCATACTGTTGTTAATTTTTCTACGGCAAAGGATCAATATAATATCAACACATGGAATGCACTGAAATGCTAATTTTCACCTAGAAGCATTTGAGGGGTTGACCTTCGGTAGCAAATTGGAACTCCATAGACTGAGAAACCAGTCTCTGAAGCAAACAGGATCTCTGTTCTGAAGTCTTCACCCGTGGAGATAATGTTATTTACTCTTCCTTTGCTGGTAGTGCATAATCTATTATTCTCCCCCTCCTCCCCCATACAGAAGGTGAAATCTACAAACACCAACAACAACCTCTGATTACAAATGGAAAATACAACATTCTAGGTCCATTAAAAGACATTGGAGGATCCCGCTCTCCATTCCTGATCAAAATCCATGGCAAGTTTAATTTTTACAATTTTGTGAAACACTATAAAATACATATGTACTAAATGGGGCTCTTGTGATGCAATGGCTTGGGGTTGGATTGTATGAAGAGGTCCAATTGTTATTGCCTAACAGGTCAGATAGCTCACAAGATTTGATTATTTTATTTTGTCTTCAGTTCCAAAGAAAGGTGTTTTGCTCCAGAAAACATTGCAGAGAAACTTGGCAAAATACTATGGCAATACCTTTTTGGCCATTTGGACATCTTGTGGGTATTCAAACTCTGCCAACAAAATACAGTGCAAAGATTAGCTTGCAATAGAATTAATAAGGGAAGAAGGCAGCTAAAATGGCTTGAGTACAGTCTTTTGCTCTTCTCTGTCTCTGAAATAAAATGGAAACTTATTTTTAAGAGCTAAGGCTTCTTAGCACTGCAACTCAAGTCATTAGCAAGTGTCTTGTATTTTTTTCTTTCAGGTGCACTAATGTTTGTTGGATGGATAACTACAGTTAGCATAGGGGTGATCGTTGCCCGGTTTTTCAAATCTGTCTGGCCTAATACTCTACTATTTGGAGAAGAGATTTGGTTTCAGGTGGGGAAAAAAATGAATTGTGGAGTGTCTTTTTGGTGTATACAAAATACGTTTAGCAATGTTTTACTATTATTTATTTTTATTCATTTATCCATGCAATTTCTAAGCTGCCTATCTTAGCCAAATGATTCTGGTGACTTACAATTCTAAAACTATAAAACAGTTAAAACAACTAAAAACAATAAAAACAGCCAAAAATAAATGCATTCAGCTGCTGAGATAGATAACCAACCAGGGGAGAAATCCAGCAGGTTCTGACAGGTTCTGCAGAACCGGTAGCGGAAATTTTGAGTAGTTCGGAGAACCAACAAATACCACCTCTGGCTGGCCCCAGAGTGGGGTGGGAATGGAAATTTTGCAGTATCCTTCCCCTGCCATGCCCACCAAGCCACGTCCACAGAACCAGTAGTAAAAAAATTGGATTTCACCACTGTAACCAACTAAAAGTATATCTAGGAAATGGGGCCCTCAACACATTCCAAGGCCCAGGTCTGAGTACATAGCCAAATTTTTACAGCCTTACAAAAGGCTTTATACAAGAGTTTACTTGTTCGTTCTATTCTTAGTCGATGAATTTTCTGCCAAACGTTCTTGGTAATAGAGTATGTGTAATAGGCTGCTCTTTAGCATCTCTTAATGTTATGTTTTTGAATATAACTTTTTCTAGATCCATCGTTCCTTGATGATAATAACAATATTGCTCACAAGCATATCTTTTGCTCTTCCTTTTATATATCGAGGAGGTTGGAATAAAGTAAGTGATGAGATTAATATGGATTTAACTGCTTAAAATCTAACAAGAATCATTTAAATCTTATTTCAAGGGCTTGTTATCCCCTGTATTCTATAATGACATCATCTTTTTCTCTCTCTGGGTGTATACAATATATGAGTGAGCAAAATTAAATCATGTGCCAAAGGATTCGGCTACAATGAAGGTATATGGCAATATAAGTACTTTGTAGGCTTTAATGTTCACTTGCAACTTGCTTCAGAGGACCATCATCTTTCACAAAAGCAAGAAAAATATAATTTTGACTAGAATGCAGTTATGATAAGTACTCTGAGAATTAGGTCAGAATAGTACTAATGTAGTTAAGGTTAGAGAATGAAACAGAAAAATATCTGAATTTTATAGCTCATATTCTGGCAAAACAAAACTATCTTTTACAATTGTGTTTTGTATAGGGAAGCAGTTATGTATAAACCAAGTAGAATTAGTGTCAAATCAAGCTGATACATGATCTACCCTAGAAGATTCAAAACACCAGCCTCGTGGTGTTTCAAGGACTGTAGACTTTTGAAAAGTTTCCATATTTCTCCAGCGTTCACTATCAAGGATTTGTTTGTAATGTTATATTTTATGTTTTATTTTTTTATGATACACTACAGAAAAGCTAACTCCCAATTTCAAAAGAGATTTTATTATAACCTTATCCCTTGGATTCTATACATGGGAAATTGTCCTTTATAAATTATCATATCCAAAGTTTACAGTTGTGATATATTGAAAAAAAAAAAAGAAAATGATTGTGCTGCTTGCCAAGTTTGGAGCATCCTTGGGATCCAGCTGGTCCCTACCTTCTTGATCCTCCCTAAATCTTTGAAGACCAAGGGTTGTTTTGTGGGGTGTTTATGCTGGTTTTATGATTTTTAGTTTTATTATTATTTGTAAGCTTTCCAGAATTATGCTCTGTAACATATAGGACAGCTATATGCAGTAAATCTTTTAAATAAACAAAATACATTAGAAGCCTAATTATAACTAACATTCTTTTTAATATAGCAAGCAGGTTTTCACCCCTATTTCGGCTGCACTGTGATGGCTCTGGCACTTTTTCAGCCTCTTATGGCAGCGTTCAGACCCCCTCCACAAGCACCAAGGTATTCTGATTTTGTACTGTACTCTTAATTGCTCAAATGTTTCTTAACAAAATTGTTAGTAGGTTATTGGAAATTTTAAATCATCATTTAACTTAGTATCCTTTAGATGCCAAACTGTAGCTTCTAGAATTATCAACCAAGTATTGATGTTGGCCAGTTTGGACCTGCAGGTGGGGAATTATAGGAACTTTATTTAACACATGTGGAAGTACCTTATTCTGTGTCTTTTATCTTAAGAAATTAGCCCCTGCAAATCTCCAAAGATCTTCTGCAGTCTCTAATTTTTCCAGTTTCTATAAATGTTTAAATGAAAATGTATAATACATTTGTCCTTTCCCCTCCCCTCCCCTCCCCTCCCCTCCCCTCTCTTCCTTTCCTTTCCTTTCCTTTCCTTTCCTTCCTTTCCTTTCCTTGAAATGAGAAATGACTACTTCTTTCCTTTCTGGGAATAGAAGGCAGATTTTTGGCTGGTTACATTGGAGCGCTGGCACAACTGCTAGAATATTAGCTGGTGAGTTTCCTGTTTTACCTCTTAAATGTACAGCTGCATGTCACTTAAGAGGAAAAGCCACTTTTCTCCTCTCTGCTGACTGCTTGAAATTCCTCTAATGCAGTTTGTTGCTTTCCAGATGTGTTGGACCACTCTCTGACTACTCTCCATTCAGCATAATCTCAGAATTCAGGGAGTTGCGTTCAACACATCTACCAGGCACCGGTTTGCAAAATGCTACTATGGCATGAAATGCATATATGGGATGTTGTAATCGAACTACATCTGTAAAAGTATAGTACAGCAGTGCATTTAGATTGTTTAAAGAATAGGAAGCTAGCAGCCTGCTAAATAAAGCTGCCAGGCATAATATTTATTTACAGCAATGCTTCTGGGCCTCACATATACTTTAAAGATATTCTTAGAAAATAAAAACCGCAGAGGACTAGAACTCGGTGTCTGACCAGAAATTAGGGTACAACTCAATAAATAAACCTGCTGAAGTGCCTCAGACAAAGAGAGAAGCCGAGCATCCTCGCAGGCTAAATGGGATGGTGGGAGCCAGTTTGTGAGAATGCCCACAAAAGCTCCTGAGATTTTATGTGGGGTAGGTGGTAAAAAATGTTGGGGTTCTCTGGCACAGCCAATTGAAGTGGAGAGGATGTAAAGTTCCCCCAGGGAAACAAGCAAGTATGCCCCAGTGCTCCCTAATTCCCTCTCTACAAAAGATTTCAAAGAATGTTTTGGTCCACAGTACTTTTTGAATGGCTCAAAAAGGGAGTCTAAAATTTGGTCTTGTTCTTAACTAGTGGTAACAATGTTCCTGGGAATGGACTTGCCAGCTCTCAACCTTCCTCCATGGGATACTTACGCAATGATTGGATTTGTAGCTTGGCATGTTGGGATTGATGTGCTTCTGGAACTACATGGCTACTGCCTCATCCGCAAAGGTTTGCACAGAGAATAATCAAATTACAAAAGAAATTTTTTTTGTGGTTTTTGGGACGGGGGGGGGGGGGGTTGGCAAGGCGGAGGTGGCTTTCTGGAAGATCTTGACTTTTGCTATTCATGATTACTTCATATACTTTTCCCTGTGACACATTCCTATAGAAGTCATAGAAACAATAGGCAGCTCAATATTTTAATCATTGAGTTTGGTTGCCTTGTAACACAAAGACTTATATTTACTATTTCTTAAAAGTACTTAATTGTTAATTTTAGCAAGGTGAGGTTTTGCTGTGCAAAACTCTGTGCATGTGAACAAAAATCTGTTCTCAATTAGAAACTTGCGATGCCACGAAACATAATCATGATATAAAGCTTAAGGGAGGAAATTCCACCACTTTGTCCTGTTGCTGTTCAGATAGATCAAGAGAATTTCATTGTTTGGCTTCTGTTAACAGAGAAAAATAGCATTTTGGAATCCAAATAGTATTTTCAGGTGAGGAGGTGAAAGAGAAATCCCAATTCACCCCTCCTGCTAGAAAACTATAATGCTGGGTCATTTGGACAGCTAGTTACTATAGAAAATAGCACTGTGCTGACATTCAAAGAATGCCAATAAAAATGCCTTTGATTGACGTGCTAAGAAAGGACAGGCTTTAAGTTGCAGTTAAGCCCATGAGTATTCTTTCTCCTATAGCCACTCTTATCTCTGTGTGTATACATATGCATATAGAGACTTATATATGAGGCACTATGCCATTTTTCAGATGAAGGCATCCGCAGCCATTATGGCCGGTATTTTACTTTTGTAATGCAACAAATGGCAGGAAGGATTCCCCCACCGCCCCAATGCCTTATGTGTATTTTGAAGGGGCAGCTATTGCAAATTGGAATAAAGAAAAAGAGCTATATAGAAAAAAAAGGCAGAATTGTAATTATATTTGTCTCTAAAGGCCTATGTTTGACCTCCTGGGTGCCATCCAATGTGAAACATAAAATGCGACACAAAGGGAAAAAAACAATATCCTCTATAAAAACATAATGAATTTCAAACATAACCTGTTAAATAGACCTTTATTGTACTGTGAATGGATGGGTGGTCGTATTACAGTGAACCTAGTATGTTGTACAGTTTGTATGTACAATATTATCTTTTTGTATAAAATATTTCTTTTATTTTGGCTGGGGAATTCCAAGAGTTGAACTCCATGCATCTTAAAGTTCCCAAGATTGAGAAACACTGATTTAAGGTGATAGTATGTATGTGAGGGACGTGATGGCTCACATACAGGGATGCTGAGCTTGTCGATCGAAAGGTTGGCAGTTAGCGGTTCGAATCCCTAGTGCCGCTTCCGTTACTTGTCCCAGCTTCTGCCAACCTAACAGTTTGAAAGCACGTAAAAAATGCAAGTAGAAAAATAGGGACCACCTTTGGTGGGAAGGTAACGGCGTTCTGTTTATTCATGCTGGCCACATGACCATGGAGACGTCTTCGGACAGCGCTGGCTCTTCGGCTTTGAAACGGAGATGAGGACCGCCCCCTAGAGTCAGGAATGACTAGCACATATGTGCAAGGGGAATCTTTACCTATATATGTGAGTGAAAAGAAGAATGCTTTCCTGCAGAATAACTTTAATTATACTTCTCTTTTACAGTTGAGGTGTTGGAAGATGACAGGGTACAAATATTGCAATCCTTATCTTCTGCAGAAGCCCAGGTAAGTGTGGCCTTTTGTCAGGTGGTGGAGAGAATGGAAAGACAATCTGCTTTTTTTAAACATGAAACACCTTCTAAGATCTATACTATTTTAAGACAATAGGATTAGAGCATATGAATATTTTTTTTCTCCTTAGGAAAGGGAAGCCTCTGGGGGTCATGACTAGGCTAGTATTTTTCATTTTCAGATGATTTTTCATTAATAGACGAATCTGTTAATTTTATCATCCTTGAAATGCTAGTATTGTTTTTCCACAGATTAACTTCCTAATAGTATCTCTTTCATTTCTACCTCTACCATCAAGAATAATTGTAGACCTGCCTTTTTCTGATGTGGTTTAATCATTTCATAAATTAGTAAACAGCTTCAATTTTTCTTTTCCCCTTTTTCTTTCTCCAGGGCCATACATTTAAAAAAGCAGTGCTGTTTATCTACATTTGTGGCAACATAGCATTTCTTGTCACCTTCATAACAGCAGTTGTGCAAGTATGATTCCATAAAAGCCTTGACTATTCTAGAGAGTTTGTCATTACAGTTCAAAATAACTTCTTACTGGATTTCATAGCTGTCAAAGAAACTTATCTTCAATTCAAGATTGTGAGAACAACTCTTCACCACACAGCCATTGAAGAGCAAACTTTGTTGGTCTTGATAAGAATCTGTCTTGGGCTTCTTCCTGAGTTAACTACTTGCTTTATATTTTGTATATTTATATTCTGTAGCTTTATCTATTACGTGAAAGCTAGGGGAGGATCTTATTTTGAGCCAATGGACCATTGCTCCTCAAGTTCCAGGACATACCTGTCAGATGTGGCTGATATTTCACACACAGTATTGTTTTCTTGTGGTAAAATGTGATCTTTGACAACCATGTGGCCCACAGCATGTCAAAATCGGAAGATAGAGTATAATGATGAAAGATCCACCTCTTTTGAATGTTGAGCGCATATATACAAAATATTGTTCATCATCCCCACCTACCCCAAAGATGCTGCTGCATATGTACCTCATGTTTCATACATTTTGTCTTCCCTCCCACACACAATCACTATTTCAGTATTATGAAGCCCATTTCCAAGTACAGACATTTTTACCAGAAGCTCCTTTTTGTGAATTCAAGATATTTGTATGAGAATACTCTTTTGAAGTATTTATTACAGATTTTTAGATTGAGATGTGCACATATTATTCCAAGAGTGATGACAATTGTTTGAACGTTGTTGTTTCTTGTCACTTCTAAACACTTGAATATGTTTGTAGACTACCTCTTTCTCTTGAAAGTAACTAGGTACTATACAGATTGTCCTCTTTAGCATGTATTTAATGAATGATGAGTAATATATTGTTGCTAAAGTTAGGATGATCTCTAATGGATGATGTATTCATCCATTGGTGACCCTTTTGTTACAGACCCGTGTGTGTGTTCTACACGGTTAGAAGAACCTCTAGAGAAGAAGTCCAATGTATGTAGGTGATGCTGCTGGGTTTGGAAAAGCTGGGAATTAGATGGAGCTGCATATGGAAATAGGCTAAAAATGTTAGTGTAAAATTCCAATCCACATTGTTAAATGGCAATGTAAGTCACTACATTGACTTACATTGACTTTTTGACTCTGATCCTAAAGAGAGTCCAGTAAAAAAAAAAAAATCTTTCAACTCAAGTCTCTTTGGTGTCAGACTATTTCCATTACTTATGCTCCATAAAAATGATGTCCGTGACCAGCAACACTGTAGTTTTATAGATATTGCACACCAAAGATTTAATATTTTTAATTTTATGAAGTTCTTGTCCCAGTTTTTGAAGGGAATTTCTAACTTCTAAGCAATGTTTAATGAAATATATAGCTGCTAGTCATATTTCTATTTGCTGTAAATGTATTTTCCATTAAAGAGTTTTTTCACCTGTTATGTTAAGAGTGTTGAATCTTCTCAAATTTCTATGACTTAGTATTTATCTAATGTAATTTTGCTAGAGATTTTTCTCTAGGCAACATCTGTATCCCTCACCTATGAATCAATGTCTGAAAACTTAATAAAAAGATAACATTAAAATAATACTGAATCTGTGAGAATTGTGATGTCTAGAAATGGGAAGAAAACCTTGCTAATTCTTTTAAGACATGAAGTCCCGTCTAAGACCTTTGTAGTTATTTTGAAATATTGCTGGTTCCAACCTTTAGATTAGAAATTATTAGTAAGGTGGTCACAGCTTCCATTAGAAAATTACAAGCAGTCTTGTGAATGATTCGCAATATACTCCTGTGTACACAACTAGAATTTTTGAGAAGCTGCCAAGAATTTTTTTTTAAAAGTAGAAAATGAAGCTCACTGAGTTATTTCCAAGCATTTTTGGCAGTAATATTGTTACTTTTCTGTCTTAGTCTTTCTGAGCTCTTTTTAACAGGTGGGCAGAAGAGTTTGTGATCAGTTTTTAAAAACTGCAACTGTCTTCCACTTCTAAATCCAAAACGGTAAAGAGAGATCTAGCTATAAGGTGAACAGGATCAACCTGAAATAAAATCCACTAAGTCAGAATAGGTAGAGTCTGGAAAAAGAACATTATTTTCCTCTTCCTCATATTTTTCATCACAAATATATAGGTATAACATAGAAAATATTCAAAATATAATTTGTAGTCGTGTATTTTAAATAGCCTTTGACCATGTTGTCTTTTGGGAAAGAAAATAGCTTTGTAGTCTCATGTATAATGTAGTATTCATATATTTCCCACTGGATAAGTGCATTTTAATTCCATTTTGGCCTTTTTACTGGCCTCTCTCATTTCTAGGGACCGTGCATAGTGCTTTCTGAAGTATTTTTAGATTAGACTCTTAAATACACTGAAATAACATTTCCACAATTGAGACACTGTGTGGTGCTATTGATTAGGTTTATAGCCATAGCTAGTCATGTTGAAGTTGTCCATAGTAGTCTAATCTTTCCAAGAGAAATATGTTTTAAAAATACATAATATGAACAAAACATCTGAATTACATACTGAATATTTTTCAGAACTCAAATATGAAATACTGTCTCCAAACATACAGACTCAACCAAATAAGAAAGCCTTGCATATACCATAATAGAAAATTCCGATTTCTGGGCCAAGCTGCATTCAGAAGCAAGTAAGTAGCTACTAACGACCAGAGTGATTTTTTTATAACCCAGTTTCTGAGTAATGGCGAGTATCTCAGTATTGAGATACTGTGATGATAAGTGCAAGATTTGGTACAAAAACTGGGAGAGGTATGTACACTCCAGCTCAAAAGCAAACTTTTTATCAGAGGGCTAGAGGAAACAAAAAACTGTTGGGACAAGGATTCCTTACTGGCTAAATTCCAAAGATGAGCAATAAACACAGATAGGAATATAGAAAGCAAATGACATGAAGGATAGAATAGATCCCATTTCCCAAACAATGGGGCATTTTCCAATGTTCAAAGGAAAATGAGATACGGCTGCCTCTACAGGATACATGACTATGGATAATATTGGAGTCCTTTAATGGCTTTATCCACCAGCCATAATAAAGTTCTTATTCTTTACAAGTGAATTGCTGGTAAATGACATAGCTTCTGCTGTCTATGCTCGCGGTCATCAGCTTCTAATATCAAACACGCACATGGAGAGTGCTTTTGCCAAATTTGAAAAAACACTGCTGAAATGGAATAGAGTTCAGTAGGAATTGGAAAATCAGTTCATATCTTATATTCATGTTTAGGTATAGTCAGAGAAGATGATGGACAAGACTCCTTCAACAAAACCCTAGATGCATTCGTATTTATGACACTGAATACTTCAGCTCTTATATAACAAGGCTGACAAATTCCTAACAAATGCCACTAATAATTCCTTGAGGAACACACTGTTTTAACAATATTCATTTATGGATCAGAGTATCCATATATCAGGACTGGCAAACATTCATTTTCCTGTAAAGTGCCATTATTATGGATGTATAGTTGAGTAAGTAAAAGCTACCCAGGTCCAAAACACAGAAAATTCTTCTTTCGCTTTTGTTAAACTGCCAGACTTTTAGTATTATATCACTGCAGCTGTTTAAATCACTTTTTTCCCCAGTTTTGCCATTCTCATTCTCAGAGCTGTAAAAAAAAAAAGCAAAAGCAAAATATTATATATTGATATGATATTGTAAAATTATTGTATTAATTAGTTAGAGAGTACCATACTTACCTCACAGGATTAGTCCAAGAAAGTACTGTTAAGTTAGTGTAAAAGAAGACCAGAAATTAATAAATATACTATCAGTTTACAGCATAGCCATATGAGAAATAAAGAATGATTTTCAAACTTTTGTCAAGTGTTTTATAGTGACAACTGAATCTGCATTCCAGTCTACTATTTACCTAAATAATTTGGCTTTTCATTACAAGTCTAGATTTCTGTCCGTAATGAATATAAAATACCAATGTAAGGATTAGTTTGTTCACTTGCACTAATATCTATAATAGAATTAAGTTTTCTTACAGTATTTACCTTTCTAAAACATCAGTCCACTTTTCAAGGGTTAAGTGTGCCACTGTAAGTTTAGAAATACAGGTAGTCCTCGACTTATAACTACAATAGAGCCCCAAATTTCCATTCCTGAGCAAGATAGTTAAGTGAATGTTGCTCCATTTTATGATCTTTCTTGCCACAGTTTTTATTTTTTATTTATTTATTTATTTTGTCAAGCATGTATAAGATAACAGATATAAGTATAAACATGACTATGAATACATGGAGTGGATACAAATAAATGGGGACATTAGAACAGGGACAGTAGGCATGCTGGTGCACTTATGCACGCCCCTTAGAGACCTCTTAGGAATGGGGTAAGGTCAACCGTAGACAGTCTAAGGTTAAAGTTTTGGGGGTTTGGGGAAGAAACCAGAGTCAGGTAATGCATTCCAGGCATTGACCACTCAGTTGTTAAGTGAAATCATTGCAGTTGTTAGTAATATGGATGTTAAGTGCATCTGGCTTCCCCATTGACTTTGTCAGAAGGTTGCAAAAAATGATCACATGACCCTGGAACACTGCAACCAAGCCAATTACCAAGCATCTGAATTTTGATCACGTGACCATGGGGATGCTGCAATGGTCTAAAGGTGAAAAATGATAAGTCACTTTTTTCAATGGCATTGCAACTTCACTAAATGAACTCTTGTAAATTGAGGACTACCTGTATGTTGGCTAACAAATTCTGGGAGTTAAAGTTCACGTATTTTAAAGTTGCCAAGTTTGAAAAATACTACCATAAAGTATTTAGTGATTCACATTTTATCTAGATTAGAATTAGAATTAATTAGAATTCTTTATTGGCCAAGTGTGATTGGACACACAAGGAATTTGTCTCGGTGCATATGCTCTCAGTGTACATAAAAGAAAAGATACATTCATCAAGAATCATGAGGTATAACACTTAATGATAGTCCTAGGGTACAAAGATGCCTGGTCTGAAATCTGAATTATATTTTAAAGACAACTTTCTTAATATGAATGCTGAGGATTTTAAGCCTATCATTTCTACTTCATCAAGATGTGACACAATTATGAAGTGAAGAGGCTTTCTTCCAGTCTAGAGTTGCTTTCCTTTTGTTCTTACACCAAAAATACAGGTCTTTTCTTATACACTGAGTTTTAATGCGGAATATTTTATTTTATTCCTTAGTGCCTTTTAGGCTTTGGCTTTCTACAATGTAAACTATTTTATCTTTTCCAATAAAAAGACTGCAATTGATTTCAGTGGTTTTAGACAAAGGAACTTTCCTGAAAATATTCCAAGAAAAGAACGTTACTTACTTCACAAACAACCCTTTGTGCGTTGCTACCTTACTCTTCCTGGCTTTGTTTTCCTTTTAGAACAAGCAGTATAATTATGAGATTGTTTTGGAAAATTACTCATTTCCCTGCATTCTCTGATTATTCAGTATGTGTTATGGCAGAAGGACAATGTGTGGGAAAAGCTATGGAGGAGGGGACCAAAGCAAGGGCAATCAAATTGCTTCAATAGTAGATAGCAAATGCTATGTGGGTCTTGTCTACAGCTGATGGGCTTATTTCAGTTCCATACTACAAGCTCAGACTGGTAGGGCAATGCCTCTGTAACATTAAGGAAATAGTGGATAAAGAGAAAGCACTGACTAAATCAATTAGCAAAGCATACAAAGTATACTCCTCATGGACAAAATTAGGATACTCATTGTATGTTGGCTTGTTTTAACAGCATTACAACATTCCATATGTTAAGCAGGAAAAACAAAAAAAAACTAGCACCTGCATCTTAGAAATGTTTTATAGATTCTTTTCCTTCAATACCCGGTGGTCTTCCGGGTGCGATTCAAGGTGTTAGTCATCACCTTTAAAGCGCTCCATGGATTAGGACTTGGGTACCTACAAGACCGTCTTTTGCCACCAATAGCCTCCCACCGACCAGTTCGTTCTCACAGAGAAGGACTACTCAGGGTACCGTCAGTCAAATTATGCCGACTGGCGACTCCCAGGGGGAGGGCCTTCTCTGTGAGGGCTCCAACCCTTTGGAATGAACTGCCCCCGGAGATACGGAATATCCCTGATCTCCGTGCTTTCTGCCGTGCCCTCAAGACCTTGATGTTCCAACAGGCAGGGCTAAACATATGAACATGTGAATGATTTTTTAAAATGTTATCTAATTCTGGGTTTTATTTAATTGGCCAAACTAAGTAATAATTTTAATTAGCAATTTTATGATGTTTGTGTGTCTATATTTTTCTTGGCTGTAACCGCCTTGAGTCCTATGGGAGAAAGGCGGTATAGAAATATAATAAATAAATAAATAAATACTTGGGAAGTCCATAACCATGGAATCAAAGATTCCAGAGCAAGTACTCTGTCATTAGTTCTTATACTATTCCTCACAGACTTAAGTCCTAGCTTTGTGATAGCCAACCTATGACCTTGTGTGTTAAAGGGGACACACTACAACATTTTGGGTGACATGCCAGCATTCAACACTTGACAACTATTCTTGAAAGTATGCCTTGTTATTGGGTGATTTTCAAAGGCTG